ATCATGAGAGAAAGAGGGAAGAGAGGTTCTTGGCGTGCGTTGTTGTTCTGGTAACTAGTAAGAGTTCAAAAATAAAAAACAAAATCTGTTCTTTTCCCAAAATGTCAAAGTTCTAAAGGGGGCAAAAGTAAAAGTCTTATATGGGGCAAAATGCAAATAAATATAAATATATATAGAATCTAAAATTTTTTAAAGTCTTAACGTGTGTTGTTAAGGCCATTTTCAGCCATTTCACAGATCCATGGTCGGAAACTACCTTATCGATGCAAGTTTCATGACCACAGATCTAGCCTTTCTACAGCCATATCTTTGGCTGTAAAATGACCACATCTTTGGCCGTGAAACAATCACATATCTGACTGTGAAAAGGTAGTTGTTTCATGGCCAAAGATGTGGCTGTGAAATAGATTTGGTAGTGAAACGGCCTTATCAGCATATAGCTGACCAAATCCAACTAGCAATGCGCCATTATGGTGACTGTCAGCAGCAGTCGGCGTTGGTGTCCAACGATCAGCAACCCTCTAGGGTGGCTGAGGGTGGTTGTGGTCTTGGGTAATTTGGTTGAAGTACAAGCGTAATTCTATCTTAAAAACCTTGAGTATAAGGCTCAAATTGTCCATAAATTTATTGTAAATTATTTAGATAACAAGGGCATTATTGATCTAAAATTTTATTAATAAGAGATAAAACTGTAACAAAATTAAGATTACTACGAAATCTTAAAATATCTAAGAAAATGGAGGTAATCAGATTACCTCCTATATAACCAACAGTAATTATTATTGATTTTGAAAGATTATCGAAATCTTATATTACTTGACAATCTCATTGATCTTCTCTCTCGCTCTTAAATCCACCTTTCTTAAGTTAAGCAATTTCTGTTGTCTCGTTTCGTCAGCTGAATTTCACCATTCTCTATTGCTTCTCTTATGAAGTGATACTTGATTGCGATGTATTTTGTACTATTGTGTGTGGCAAACCTTTTTCTTTCCAATGGCTGATTTGTATTTGTTGTCGAAGAATCTTTATGTTTCTTCTTCTTGACTTTGGCCAACATCTTCCAAAGTGATAATAAAGTAATATAAGACGATATTACCTCAATAATGAGAGATTACCCCTAACCAAACACACCCTAAGGTGTTTGTTTCTACTTAATTTTAAAATTAATTTTCCATTTAAAAAACAATGTAAACAAGCAAAAATATGTATTCTTAAATAAGTTTTTTTTTTTAAATTATTGAAACATTTTAAAATTTAATTTTTTAAATAAAAAAGTTCAATATAAAAAATTGGCTAGTAGAGTTTGTAGACTAGTACTGGCGTTGCCAGTGAATAGCTAGCGATCAGTCTAATAGTGTCGGTGATTTGGTAAAATGTCATGGTGTTAAGGCATAACGAGTTGCAAAAGTTTGGCCAATTTTTTGTAGCAAAACTTTGTGTCTTCTGCCCAAACCTTCAGTAGCAGGGCATATGTTGCTTAAAGTTGATTCAAATTGTGGCAGTGTTAATCCACTTGCGGCCATTGGTTCATCAGTGAGGGCTCTCAGCCACCCTCGATGGCAGCTGGTCATTGACTCCGCTAACCAAAATTTGTATATTTATTTTTAATATGTTTATTATTTTAGTAAGAGTTAATAGAATGACCCTTAAGGTTTCATTAAATGACAAAAATCCTCGTAGTTTCAAAAAAAGTTAGCGACATGTTCCCACCCAAAAGTAGTCCCATTGACAAATTCATACCCACCCACATTTTAAATACCATTTCAATACCCAAAACATAATTTTATTAGTAATTTTTGTTGTTAGGAAGGGCAAGATGGTAAAAAGCTCATAACTAATTAGAGCAGAATGATCACCAAACAATGGTTGCCGGAGAAGAAGAATGGTGCACATTAGCAAAGGATGCTGCACGTTAGCAACATCAGATCCGATAGACTTTTGCCATTTTTCGGCCAACTCCGACGTTCAAAATCACTTCCAACACCACCCAAAGAATCCCCATCACCTCCTCTACAAAGCCCAAGTCTCCATTTACTGTCATCACTCACCATTTCCCACCACCACCTCCATTCGCATGGTCGACTCTTCAAGTCGGAATTCCGGTGGATTTCTTTGCTAGAAATTCACCCAGACACCACCATCACACTCCCCACAATCCACTCTACAAAACCTTTACCTCTATCACCGTCCCTTGCTTGCTGATCGCCAACTGTGAATCGCACGACCTTTCAACTTCCAAGCCGATTTCTAGTCGTTTCCAGTGTCAAAAATCGTCCCTGCCACCACCAATCAACTCCCTGAATCTTCCTCTCCAAAAGCCCCAACATTCTCAATCTCGTTTAATCACCAATCGCCGATGATTGAAGCTTCCCCACCTTAAGGTTTTTTGAGTTTTAATTGGATTAATTGAGTTTGATTCGTACAATTTTTGTGTTTGTTGGGTTGAAATATAATTGAGGAATGTTTATTTGCTGATTTTCTGGTCGTCGACACTCCCCAACACCGGCGACAAGTGCCGGCAATGGAAAAGGCTGAGAAGAGAAGACAGAAGAAAGGGGTTTTTTAGTAAAGCACTTTGTTTCCCACCCAAGTTAGAGGATAACCTAATATTTGGGTAGTAAAAGGGTGTTTTAAAAGTTTGAGGGTGGGAAAATGTCAATGGACCAATTTTTGGGGTCGTTAACTCTTTCAAAAATGACAAAAGTTCCCGTTTTTGTTAGGGATCGTTAAAACTTGAGAAGGATTTTGTTATTTAATGAATTTGAGATTATTGTTGTTAAAAATCTTAATAATATTTATCTAAATACCCTTTATTGTTTATTTAACGTCCAAAACTTAACAATTCATCAAGGTAGGTTGATATTCATTAATAATCTTAGGGTTTTCATTATTATTATTATTATTTAACAAAACCTCAAGGGATTATTTCATTAACTTTTTTATTAATTTAGTTTTAAAAAAAAAAAAATAGGTTTAGGTTTATGTTTACCATTGGGGTCTATTATTGTAATTGACTATTTTTTAAAATAGCATTTAAATCTAAAAAGTTAAGAAAACCAACTTTTTAAAATCCATTTATAAATATAACACTTCTGAAATTTATTAATGTTATAGTCACTGAGATGCCGCCTGTAAAATCATAAAGTTACATAATGGGGATGGGTTCGGAACCATTTCTTTGTTCAATAGCAAATTTTGATTCCCAATAGTCATCAAATCTGTCATTAGTTTATACAATTTTTAATAGTTTGACTGAATTAGTAAAGACTCATTTATTTTGGCACACTAAGATATGGAACAAATTAACACGAAACTCAAAAGATGATTAGTTCAAAACTACGATAAGTAATTAATGGTGACCAACCTCTAGATGATGTGACGTGCACATATGCCCGGCCCTCTCCCTCTATTGCGCTAAAAATCTTTCTTCAAAATGTTGATGAATTATTTCGATAAATCTCTGGTGTTTTTACTGGTTAATCTCTTCCATTTTTGCCAAAAAAAAAGCCAATTTATGCAATAGTAATGACCCAGATGTAGTTTATAAAGTTAATAACTACATATACATATACGTAGATTGAATTCGAACTAATAAAGAAGTTTCATTTTCATGAGAAATTCTAAAACAAAATACTTTTTTATTCTTTTATCTAGGTATAGAAAGTATCTATAAAACAATCTCATTAATTTATGATCATTGAGAATTCTGAGTCTTTAATATTGATTCCATTGCATCGCTACATTATTAACACCACCATATTGATTAGTCAGTGATGTGCAAGACTTTTCCATAATGTTTTTATCACAACACCATGAATTCAGTCTTCCATCTTATTATCCATCATAAACCCTAGATTGTTGTCTGTATAAATGTACAATCATCTACTTCTTAAATTCCTGAAACCATTATCTCACTATCCAAAGAATTATTATTACTACTCTCATGAGATATGTAGCACTCTTGCATATATATGATCGTTTTGATTACTCCCAACCATATCTATTAACTCTCCGATTGCAAACCCTTGATTGGAATCCATGTAACCACTTTCTTCTATTTATATTTATATAGTGAATTTTTTGTATTACATTTAATATGTAATGGGTCGTTACTAATAGGATAGAATTGCTTCAAAGGGCACTTAGATTTCTTCCCAAAAGTGGTAGCTGTTGAAGAATCTTCCGCCGTAGATAGCGGGTCTCAGCCGCTGAAACCGGTGATAGAGATGGAACTAAACGGTTACAAAAGCAAGGCCAATAACCACGTAGGTGGCCGCTTTGTATTGGATAAAGTTAATAATAGAGAAAGTTAGTTAACGAAATTGGCGGGTAAGAGAGAGAAGCATCCGCAAGTCTCAACTGAATTTTAAAAAAGAGGATTATGAGAATCCAAAGGATGTGAAGTGGATTTGGTTTTGTCTCAGCGCTTGTGTTGTTCGTCTCTCTTCTTCCCCCTTCCCCTTCCCTGAATGCCTTACCAGTGTTCAGGGTAAAAACATATGCTTTTCTTTTCTTCATTTTCTTGTTAACTGTTTTTGTTGCTTTGAAATTTTAGTTATTCAGCATTTTGATTGTTTTTGTTGCAGAAATTTTGGCGATTTGTGAGCGGAAGAGCGAGGGAATGATATATTAGCGTGTTGTGGTTTGTTTTTCATTTTCTTGTTGCAAATGTGCAGGCTGTTAATAATAATCATGGCTATGTATACATATATGTTTATTTGTATTTGTATTTGTAGGTCACAAACGCAAATTCAAGAGAACGAACTCAGCACTTTTATAACAGGAATGCCAATATTAGGTAAGAATTCAAGAGTTAATGTTTTAAGTAGTACCCATATTCATAAATTTGGTTGAAATAAATGATAATTTATGTTGATTAATTGAAGGTTTGATTGAAGTGCATAAATGTGATGGTTCATCTCCTGGGGAAGACTAATTATCGGGCAAAATTACCCTGAGAAGAGGTGTCCTTGGCATGAACAGCTTCCATTCTCAACTGCATGAGACTCTTTGAGATGGCAGTAGCCATCGATCCACATCACGGATTCAAGCCGTTTAACCGATCCCAGAAATGCAGACTCCAATCCTTCACTCAGTTTGACTACAATATTCTTGAACTTAATCAAACCAATCTTGCTCACTCCTTAAAACAAGCTTTCGAAGTTGCTAATATTCACAGAAGCTTCTCCACCCCTTGCCTTTCTTTAGCCAATAATGTGGAGGACGAATTTGACACCAATCAGCGGATTGAAATTGTTGGCGGCAGAGGAGCTCCACGGGTGCGCGCCCTTGTTGTTGAGGTTGCTATAGCTCTGGCCTCTGGTGTTGAACCAATTCCTGTCTCAGGTGGCCTTGGTGGTGCTTACTTTTTGCCTGGCCGAAATGGTGACATTATTGCTGTGGCAAAACCAATCGATGAAGAGCCTTTAGCCTTCAATAATCCTAAAGGGTTCGGGGGTTTCATGGCAGGCCAGCCTGGTCTTAAACGCTCAGTTCGCATAGGGGAAACTGGAGTCCGAGAACTTGCTGCTTATCTTCTTGACCATGATGGATTTGTTGGTGTTCCTCCTACAGCTTTAGTCAAAATCTCTCCTGTTGGGTTCAATGTTAATGATTCATCTCCAATTTCAAACACACCCTTTAAGATTGCCTCACTTCAACGCTTTGTAGATCACGAATACGATGCAGGCGAGTTAGGTCCTTCCAGCTTCTCAGTAGCGTCAATTCACCAGATCGGTATTTTTGATGTACGAGTTTTAAACCTTGATAGGCATGCTGGAAATATGCTAGTTAAGAAACATGATAGGCATGAAAATTATGGTGGTGAGGCTGCAGAGCTTGTGCCCATAGACCATGGATTATGCTTGCCTGAGTGGCTTGATGATCCATATTTTGAATGGCTGCATTGGCCTCAAGCTTCAGTACCCTTTTCAGAGTCTGAACTTGAGTACGTTAGCAATCTTGATCCGTTCAAAGATGCAGAGATGTTAAGAGCCAAACTTCCTTCTTTAAGGGAGTCATCGATCCGGGTCCTAATCCTTTGTACCATTTTCCTGAAGCAAGCTGCTGCTGCTGGTCTTTGTCTAGCTGAAATAGGTGAAATGATGACCAGGGAGTTCTGTGATGAAGAAAATTTGAGTGTGTTAGAGACTGTTTGTGCAAAAGCTAAGGAAAAAGTAATGAATATATTAGAAGATGAGAAGGAGGAGGAGGAGGAAGAAGAAGAGGAAAATAATGATGAAAACAAAGAAACTGAACAAGAGTTTGAAATGTTTCAATTCGAAATTGAAAATGAGGACAGTTCCCATGATGTTATGGATCTTCCTCAGCCCTTACAGAACCCAGCTGACATGTTTAATGCAACCAAAACCAAACGGTTCTTATCCGTAAGAGCAATGCCGCGGTTACAAGACCCTGCATTGTTTCCCTTATATGAGGAAAACGTCCCTGACAATGGTGACGATGACGATGATGAAAGTGATTCAAAATCCATCAAAGAAAAGAGTGGTAATGGTGAGAGTGACAACAACAAAGTAGGAGGATTTGCAAAGAGCATGAGTTTCTCAGTGAGAAGTTACAATTGTGAAAGTGGGGGAACATGTTTTGGAGAGATGAGTGAAGGTGAATGGGAAGTGTTCTTGAAAACATTTGAGGAAGGTCTGCCTCAAGTAATTGAGGAAACAAAGTGCATGACATTGAAACAAAGGTTGGGAACTTCGTGCAAGTTCTGAGGAATAGCTAAAGGGAAAAACGGCCAACTTTATGAAATGGGAAGATTAAGGGTTTGTATTTTATCAAGAAGTTACTGTAAATTTATGCCTCAATGACCTGTCTTAGTTTAGATTGTAGATATAATGATATCTATACATAAATACATACATACATAAATTAATAGGACACCATATGGGAAATGGGATTGGCAAAGCGCCATCCTTTCCTACGATTGTTTTCTTTCTTTTGTGTTATCATTATCGTACATTTAGATAGAAAAAGAATTCCCCATTGTCCCTTTTAACATCATCTTTGTAATGGTTTCATTTGGAATTCAAAAAATTCTTTTTTATTTCTACTTTTTTTGGTTTGTTTGTTTCCTCTATTATGTGCCTAACAACTACCAATCATACCATGGAAGTATCTTTACGTCAATTTCGTAATGTTCAATCGCAATAAACAAAGTGCTCTTTTTGATATAAGAAAAGCAATTACAGATTTTCTTTTTAATAAAAGAATAATGCTACAATTACCTATGGGTGTACATCGAATTTGTACATTGAATAACGTGATAAAATCTTGATCATTGATTCATTATAAATTAATATTAATTAACGATCAAGATTTTACTACGTCATTCAGTGCACAATTTCAGTATACACTTTTCAGTGACTACCATTTTCTTTAATAAAAAGCACTCTATTTGTGGGCTCTAGAGTCTAGAGGCACTTCACAGACCTTTTATGTCAAAGTCTCACACAAAAATAATTTTTAAAGGTAATATAGCCTCAGATTAATAATAACGCACGACGTATTCATAGGCATAGTATTTAAAACTATGGAAAAAAAAAAAAAATNTTATAATACAGTACTAACATTATAAATACTATAGCTAACTTAAAAAGGTTTATAAGATTGCTAAGTTATAATCGAACAAATGAAACGTTTACAATATGATTAGGTTTTCAGGACTTTCAATCTAAAAAAATTACGCCATTTGTCTGAAACTTGAAAAACATGTACTAAACATGCATTAAGCAATGAAAAGTGGTGGGGTGCTCATGTAAACCAGCTGCTTTGCTATCTTAAGAAAAGAGATCAATCTCCTAACAATTAATTGTTCATAAAGGATCTCTTTCCTATTTGGCACATGTCATCTTCAACCCAACTAATCACCATTTAGACATCAATTAATTAGTAAAAATAATCAGAGATTTTGCGATTACAGTCAAAACTCAAAAGTTTCATATCCAGCCATAGCCAAGCCTACACAAAATACTACGATTACAGTCAAAAGTTTCATATCCAGCCCCAGCCAAGCCTACATAGAATACTACAATTACAGTCAAAAGTTTTATGAAGAACAAATGACAAAAGTCATGTCGCATTGATTATTGCTCCAGATTAAGTTTGCATCATTATAAAAAGGTTTTACTGCATTTACCAAATGCTTATCCAAAAACCACAAGCTATGAATTACGAAATTATCCATACACAGACACAACCAAGAACCACTCACAACAATGGCCTCACTCTCTTCATCTCCTTCCCTATTTATGTGATTCTGTCCTCTTCTAAAACCCTTAAAACCCTCTCAAAAAAGTCAACTATGTGATCGAAGAATGGCTACCTAGATTGAGGAACAGGGCTGTTGTCAACGATGGAGCTGTCGTCAACGATTTCCAGCGAGGAACGGAGTTGTCGTCGTCGATTCTAGCAAGGGAGGAAGACGTCGTCGATTTCCGACGAGGGAGGAAGACGTCGTCGTCGATTTCAAAGAGCTCAAATGCGATTTGGGTGGGATTTCAGAGATAAATTTTCGCAGAAAATAGACAACACACACAGACGAAGCTGATAAATTTTCGCACAGAAGAGAGAACTGAGAAGAAGCTGAGAAAATTTCGTAAGAAACTGAGAAAATTTTCATAAGAAACTTGAGAAAATTTTCGTAAGAAGCTGAGGAGTGAAAGAGAAGAACTGAACGCAATGAAAAGGGTTTTCGCGTATTAGGGATTTTTAGATTTGGACCGGTTTATCCGTCGGTCTGGTTGGACCGGCAGTTGCAAAAATCCGGTTTTCAAACGGTTTAAAACGGTCTATTATATTATAACGGTTTTAATATTGAACCGAACCGGACACATGGCCGGTTCACGGTCCAACCGGTTAGACCGACTGGTCCGGTCCGGCTTTTAAAACAATGGTACCAACTACTAAGCTGATACTGGCTAAGATTTTCGATTACAGCAGTAATGAATGTAGTCAATGATCTCAATCCCATCCAAAGTTCATTGTTTATAAACCAATAGTTCAAATCAATTCAAACTATCGACTACTGCAGAATAGACCAAAATTCTGAATCCCAGAATTTTATTAAGTTTTAAACAGTTGCAGTTACATTCATGGCTCAGTTACAATTTTAAACTGGATAAAAGAAAATAAATAGTCCAATTCAAATTTATTTACAAGGTATACGTATCTAAGTTTACAAAGTATACAACAAACTAAACCCTATGGTAGTATGATTTCATTTAAAAAAAAACGCCCTACTCCCAATCAGCATCAAAGAATCCCGCATCTTTCATTTCAGAGTAATATGCACTATCCAAAAGAAAATCTTCCTCCTATAAACATCATATAATCCAGCAAGCTCATGTTATTATTAGGACATAATTAATCATAAATAAAGCCCGGAAAATTAACATCTTTAACAATTAACAAAGGAGATAGTAGTGGGGATGATCACCTGGAAAAAGTCTGCCAGAAAAGTCACAAACAAGAAAGGAAGATAGAGTGCATGATAGCAGACAACTGTGAGATTATACAACCTGAAAAGAAAAAAGATAAAACACTTCATGAGTACTAAATTTAATAGCTCTCTTTTTTCTAAATGAAAATTAATATTCTGAGTACCAAATGCCAAAACCAGCTCCGATTCCAGCAAGAACACAACCAAACAATGCAACTGCACTAACGAAGAACATCACAACGATGTAGTGGTAAAATGCTGGCCTAGCTGCAAATTGTAGAAAATGTTAGTTTATCCGATCCCTTGCTATAGTAATATGATAATCGAGCAAATAATGTTACTCACAAGGCAACTTCTCTCTCCACTTTGAGAAATGCACAAATAAAATGAAGCCATAAACTGCAGTAAGTAATAAGTTGTGGATGATCCACATGCCCCACTTCATCCGATGAGTACTTTCCAGATCAAAGAACAGTGGGGACCCAAATCCAAAAACATATATTACCTGATAGTGAAGAGTTCAAGGTAAATTAGGATTGAAATTGTTATAAGATCAATATTTTCAATGGTTTAAGCACAACCACAGAATGTGCAAGTAAAATAAAAACCACAATATAAATATAATGTATAACTTGCTACTTTCATGTGATAAAAAGAACTCAGGTTCAAATATCAGGGCAAAATCAGTTGAAAATTAAAAAATTATAGGATATATTTAATCATTCAAGTTGCCTTATTTTACGCAATTGGATCTGAAACAAGATTAGTAAATTAGCTGATTCTGCTACTAATAAACACGCCAAGTATCCCCAGAAGTGGAAAAGACCGTCACCTTAACATCCTCCCACTGGAAGTAATTCTTGCTTCAGGGTGAAAAGAGGAACTGGAATGAAATCAGGAGTAGTTGACAATAAGCAAATAAGCATGAAAATAAGTGAGTATAATCTTCTCATGTCGTAAATATTACTTAAACATATACCAAGTCCAGTCATTTCATTTGAGGGTACCTCACCAAGAGATTATGAGATTATCTATTGTGCTGTCAACTGGGAACAGGCACATTATTTATTGGATTTCAAATATTTCTAGAAATGCTCCTTCAATCTTTCGAACACTAATTAAACTATTATCAAACAAAGGAATCTCTATAGTCTCCTAGTACAAGTCTGAGATGTATGATTCACAATATCTAAAATTCAACTGTGTTAAATGATACTTCAATTGTCACTGCAATCAGACAATTATGAGTATCTCACTACACTTCACTGGCTAACAGTTAGTTAGAAAGTGTTCCGGCTAAGGCCTATAGAACTCATTTCACTCCGGTTATAGCTGAAAGTGGCTTTGTTCTTATCGTTCAGTGGTCACTCGCCTATAGGTAAGTAAAGAAGGGATTCTATTGTATTCCGATACTGTTACGAGCTGTCTTAACTCCACTTACTTCTAGGCCATTAGCTCAGTAAGCTCAGTAACTCCATTCTCTTATGCCAGCCTTACCTCAATTCCCTTCTTCGCCTCAACAGCTAAAGCATCCCTTTCTGCAGCTCCTGAAACAGCCGAAGAACCTGGAGTTTATGATTCCGGCAGGAGAGGTATTCTTTACTGCGCTCTAGCAACAAGACAGCTAGCCGATCAGTCGTAACTGCCCCCGACAGCCACTCCTTCTCTACAGCTTGCTCGCATAAGGACGCTTCGCTAGCAGCCTATTCTCATCAAGCTACTCCGAACAAAGAGAAGGAATACTCTTTAGAATGCGCTAGCAGCAACCCTTAGCCGCTCAATCGTGCCTTACCTCAGTAGATGCATACGCACAACGCGGTAGGCACTCGCTCACTACAGCTTGCTTACTTAGGAAGATCGCTTCGCTTGCTAACTAACACATCAAGGAACAAACAAACCTTGCAGACGGAGAAGGGGAACTCTACTTGACAGACAGATAAGGAATCCCCGTCTCCTAGCTAACAATACCTCGTCGGGATGGAATGCCTACTCGGAACAAACTAGCCTGAAAAAGTGATATTTCGTATAATAATAATGAATGAATGAATGGATGGAATTGGATCATCAACGGGCGAAGTGAGTAAAATACACTCTTTCTTGGCTAGTGTGTAGTAGACTCCATTATGGTCATTCGTAACGGCTCCATATAGTTTGATTTTGGGGCGTAACGTTGTGATTGTTCCATCGACTGACCGATAGACTAGTTCCAGAGGCATCTTCCATTCATATCGATTTGGGTTTTTCTGCACCATATTTTGATCTGCCTCTTCTTCGACCCGGAATTCCCATCAAATCCTTTACTCCTCGAATACAATGGGATTTTACACCTGGCGAATCTTTCACTCTACCTCCTCTTATTAACACNAAACAAATACATTGACTAATCTTAACGCTATTCAAGATGACGAAAATTGTGATGTGAATTTAAAATTAAAAAAAACAATAGAAATTACTAAAAACAAAAACAACTAAAATAACATGACAAAAGATCACTGTGCAATGGAAATGTTAAAGGTTTGATTCTACCTAAACCAATTTTGACAACTATGTAATATAAAAATTAGATTCAGAACTTCATTGATCTAAAGATGGCTAAATCTCTCAATTTAACGCAATTGCGAAATTTAGGTTCCGCTCCCACTTAAAACCTAAACCGGCCACATAAATCTCATAAGACTTTCCCAAGTATCCTATTCAATCTATGATCTATGCTATTTTAATGACTTAAAGTGATTTCACCACCCAGTTAATCATCACATCAATAAAATAATTGAACACAATGAAGCCCTAATCAAAAGATTTTTTAATCAAACTTCACCACCCAGTTCATCATTCAATAAGAACCCTAAATAATTAAAGAAACAACAAATCCAAAAGCATTAAGCAAATCACACAGATTCTTGTAGAATAGTAAAATTCTTGAATACCTTGATAGAATTGAAAATCTACTCCATAATCAAAGTGATAACAATCAACATCAATTTTGAACTCATCATCATAACAATTCCAAACTAATACATAAAAGTAGAGTAAGAGAAAACAAAAATTGAAATCTTGAAGAATTGATCTCTAGAAAGGTTTTGCACCAACTTCTCCCAAATGAATGGTGCTAGACTCTCCTCCCCCCTCCCCCCACTCTCCTCACCCCCCGCCCCTCCCTTGATCTCCTCCTCTTCCTTGATGTGTTTTGTTTCAAGAACCCTAGCCTCTTTTCTCCCAAGTCATCCCTTTTTTTTATACAATTTTTTTTTTTCATTGAAGAATCATGCATGTCACAGCGGTAAAAATTCTTGCTGCGGTGAATGTGAATCTGGTGAATTCATGAACATATGAATTGTAGCCCTTCAAGTCAACTTTCTAACGCCTCAAGAACTGTCCAATTCTGAAGTCTACAACTTAAGTTATCTCGTTTTTACTCAAAACTGATGTTCACCCTACAAAGAACAAAACTTCTAATTAATGCATTTCACGGCCAAAGCAAAGGTTAATGAAAATCCTACTGAAACTCAATATAAAAATAAGGTAGAAAACAAGATTATCAGACTATCGGGAGCTCATCATCTATCAGGTAGCAAACTATTGGAGTCATCCATAAATCACTTGCGTCGGTGGTAGACACCTCATATGTTGGATCTTTCCAAACTAATAGCCACTAAAGGTAGACAAGCGAAATGGTTTATGAGGTCATGGTTTGGATGGACGACCCAAGATTAGCTAAAGTGTCAACATAGGTGTTCTTTGATCGTGGAATTTTAGTGATCGTGAATTCCTTAAAGTTGGATTGGAGTTCTTTCACATGAGCAAGGTAAGCCATCATTTTGGAGTCCCCCGCTTGATAAGTGCCTTGGAGCTAGATGACAATGAGCTAAGAGTCTGAGCGAACATTTATCTTGCATGCTCCAAGTTCCTTGGCAAGTGAGAGACCAGCGATCAATGCTTTATACTCGGCCTCGTTGTTTATTGCTTTAAAACCACAAATCAGGTCGCCTTATAGTGAAGTAAGTGAGACTCCTATACCAATCCCATTCATATTTTTGGACCCGTCAACTAATAAAGTCCACTTTATAGAAGGATGGTTGGTGAAAAAACCAATTCTTTTTCATCCTAGATGTGGATGTTAGGGGTGAAGTCAAAAAGAAAGTCTACTAACACCTGGGACTTGATGGTAGTTCGCTGTTGGTAAGTGATATCGAACTCGCTAATATCCACAATCCATTGAGTAATTTGGTTAGATAGCTCAAGTTTACGCAACACTTTCTTTAGTAGGAAGCTTGGAGATTGATGATTTGATGACACTGGAAGTATGGTCGGAGTTTACGAGCTGCGATAACTAAGGCTAGTGTAAACCGAAAGCTGCTTCCCTTCCTCTTCGTGAATGAGCACAACTAAGATTGCCGTCTCAGAGACAACAATGTAGATAAAAAGTTGTTTCCCGCCTTTGGGTTTGGAACAAAGGGGGGTGACGTGAAGTACTTCTTGAGTTGATATTGAAAGATGGAATGCATGGAAAATGATGCATGTGATACTATAACATGTATATTCATATTTTGAAAAAAAAAATCAATCAAATTGAAAACAAGTAAGGTATAACTTGTTACCTTAAGTCCTTAACAACCTTGGAGACTTTTAATTTCAAGAGAAATTAAACAAAAGAGTATCCACACTAAGGTAAAGGAAGAATTAGGCCAAGAGAGACATTTAGGGTTCTTAGAAATTTTGATCTCTATCTTAAAATTAGTATATCATTTTCTTTATATATGTAGTTTAGCCTTGTAAACAATTCAATAATTGTTTTGGACTTCCTTAAACAATTCCATGATTGTTTTGAAGTTGTAAATAATTTCATAATTATTATGAAATTGTTAAACTTTTATAAATAATAACATTGGATTCACATTTAATCACAATTAACAATTTAACTCTTAAATTGTTTACATAACAATTTAAACCTTAAACTGTTCATATGTTTACAATTACAACCCATTGTTAAATTCAACTTAAAATAAAGAAAATGATTAATTATGAATTGTAATTCCATTTAATTCCAATTAGTAATTTAATTCTTAAATTATTCATAATAACTAAATAACCCTCCATTGAATCTAATTCAATGATAATAATATAAATAACTTTATTACCCTTGGTAGGTGCTAACCAACCTTGGATAATCAACTCTCTTTGGCTATTTCTCCATTCTCCTTAGTTTTTATGTATGACCTCTTAGGTTCACTGTGGCTTAGTCGTGGGCCCAATATCATAATCTATTCCGATATGTTTTGTCATAACTCTTTATGAACAAAACTCCTACCGATTATGGTAGGCATCTAGCAATGCTCTATAACCCCTAAGTCACAATGAAAATATACTCCAACGAACCCTTTTATAATCATATGTTAGGAAACAATCCATTGAGGCAACGAAAAACAAAAATTAATAACAACACGGATTGTTCCATAGAACCAAGATCAGGGCACAAATTTACAGTTGATATCAAAACAAGAATCTGCAGAAAATTTGTTTAGAGTTTAAGAAATCATATGCATGTTTGGAGGCTCCTCCACCTTTGTCTCTGAACTTATTTTGCTACCGACCCAAGTGTAGGATCGAACCGATGTAGCCCACACGAAGACAATCCCAAGGAACTAAAGAGGGATTTGCTAGATCCTCTTTAGTCTTAAGAACAAAGAAGAAATGAAATGTATTTGATTTTCAATCAAAAACCAAGTCTGGCGTGGGAGAGTATTTTGGGGCTGGAGGTTTTTGTTTTTTCAATGAATGATTGAATTAATGAAAAAAACTCTTTTGTCTTTCAATTAAACTTTGTCTTTTATAGTGCAAGTTTAATTTCCCTATTCCCTTATAGAATAGGCTTGGGCTCCAACCCAAACACCCTTGTTTCCAAACACTCTCATTTAGATATTTTAATATTAGTTCATCATTATCTCAATTGAAATCAATTAATATATATATTTAATATATTAACATTTAACAATAATGATAACTTATTT